CCCCCCCCCCCCCCCCCTCCCACAGTGTGGAGCGGAGAAAATCCGTAGGCATCTCCACACGAGGCGTCGCAAACCGCGACTCCGTTGGGAGGCGAGGAGAGGCCAACATCACACACGCAGGCTTCGAACTCACTGCGTGCAGTCCCCGAGTGCAGAGATACAGATGCTATGGCCCCATAGTGTACCTCGAATACAATGCAGGCAAATCCAGTTGCAGCAGCAGCACTCCCAAAGATGATTCACACTACCAAAGATGACGCACACAATATCCGCCGAATACGAACCTAAGTGTTGCACTAAAGGCGTTGGAGAACAGCTTAACATGACGCTGAAATCAACCAACTGTTCACGCAAAACTCAACCAGCCTCGTCGTCCGTGAGCAGGCCAGTAACCTTCCTAAAATAGCTCCTACCGGAGAGCTTACACTGTGATATGACTCCCTGCCTAGCAGCTAGTGGCACTCCGGTAGCTACTGTTTCGTGGTACTATAACGCAGCGGGAAACTAGCGCTGGCCTCCGCAGCTCTGCTGTATTGGACACAATGGTACACAAGCGAACGGGGTATCAGCCGAAATCCCTATCTAAGCAACTGCGACCCCACTGGCTCCTGTTAAGTGGAGTAAGTACGAGGCCACTGTCACGAGCAAAGGGGCATCCACATAGTTGACTGCGCTGTTAGACGAGGTCATTGCCGGCCAGCAAGTCCCTAGGTTACTTCAAGTTCTGCGGTCCCGGCGCCAGCGAGCACGTGAATACGGCAGCTGCGACCCTTTCAAACCGCTGCGCTTGGTCCAGCGCTAGGCATGCAACGATGCGGCTATTACACTTTCTCCCTAAACCGCCACGTCGCTGCCGCCGAAGCCAGCACGCAACTGATCATGGTGACGCGCACGACCGTAAATTAATCGCCCAGCTATCTATGTATATGTTTCCGGGTCGATATGACTGGGTATTGGTTTGATCTCGGTTCCGAGCTCGTGTTCAATCCTGAAAAGTGGCGCAAATGTGACTCGAAGCTAGCTTCTTCATAAATCATGCGCAAGGGATGGATGGTACAGCATCCTACTTGAATGGGTCCCCCCGAACGCACCTGTAGAGGTTAAACCGGTCTTCGTACGTTACCAGGTTCACCGCCAAACCTAGGTGGCCAAAACGGCCTGAACGCCCAATTCTGTGCAAGTACGTCTCCGAATTTTGAGGGAAATCAAAATTAATAACGACATTTACAGATTGGATATCAATCCCTCGAGTGAACAAATCCGATGAGACCAGGCAACGACAGGCACCGTTTCGAAAGTCGTGAAACACCCTGTTTCGGTGCGACTGCAGCATCCGAGCATGAATATAGAAGCACGAAAAGCCCAGCTCGGTAATCTTCTTCGCCAGGAGCTCAACGCGGGTCACACTATTACAGAAGATGATCGCTTGGTTAATTTGAAGCTGAGTTAAAAACAGTGCACATGGGCAAGGGGAAACACTACTGCCACTCTCACGTCCTACATTCATATGTGGGAAGCCATACTCCCCGCTAGAAAGGTGTAGACGTAACTGCGCCACTGTGTACCCAGACGCACAACGACAGCAGAAGCAGAGCTCCTAAAGCAGGATCATCTTGTTTTTAGACCCACCTTCGCAAAAAGTGTGTTCAAACAATGTACTTTCTGCCTCTCCTCAACAAAAGCGTAGTACTGCGTAACACCCTTTAGAGTGAGCTCTTCCATAAGATTAATTTCGTGAGCGTCTGGAAGATATTTCGACTTGAAATCCTTCACTGTTACTGGAAATGTGGCCGAGAACATGAGAATCTGCCGCTGCATAGGAATGAACTCGATCAGTTTCTCTACAATTGGCTGGAACTCAGGGGAAAGCAATTTGTCAGCTTCATCCATTACCACTATGTGGCACTGCCGCAAATCCGCCACATCCTTGTTCGCAAGATCTAGGATCCTCCCAGGAGTCCCTACGAGAATGTGGACTGTGTTGTGCAAACGCATAATGTCATCTCTGAGACTCGTACCCCCTGTCGAAACCATGCACTGAACGTTAAGATATTTCCCCAACTCTTTAACAACTGCACTGGTTTGCAGCGCCAGTTCTCGGGTAGGAACAAGGATCAAGCCTGGCAGAAGACAGCCGACACAGCGGTCCCACAAGAGTCCTCATCACTCAAGATGCCCATCACTGAGACAGCGGAAGTGCTGCTGCAAATACAAGACGGAGCAATTACCCTGGGACACTAAAAGAAACCCACTTACCCTGGATTGCTCGTCGTGTGATTTGGCACTTCTCTAAGACAGGGATTGCGAAAGCCGCCGTCTTCCCCGTCCCATTTTTGGCACGAGCCAAGATGTTGCGACCAGAAAGTGCCACTGGAATCGCTGCCTCCTGAATTGGGGAGGGTTTCTCGAATCCCTTCTCAAATATTCCCTTGAGCAGTTCACGTTTCAAGTAGTAATCTTCAAACTCGTTCCCCCTTGTCTGAGTTACATCCTAAATAAGACACATCAGCATTGCGCATGAAGGCGGAAAAGTTCACTTGTGTTGGCATGCTCACCTCAAGCATGAGACAGGGAAGACCTCACTAACTCATTGCACTCTCAAAACCGCTACACGCGTAAGCACATGTAAAACTACCTATACGGTGCAACTTGCATGAAGCGGAATATGCGACTTCTACTAACTCACCGCTGTCCGGAACATGTTCTGCCTCACTGGCCTTGGCCCGCCATCCTTCTGGAGATACATATCTTGCACCCCGTTCAGGTGGGCTTGCAAAAGGATACCCCTTGAAAGGGGAGCCTGAGGCTGAATCTGCTCCGTGGCGTTATTCTTCATTTTTGACGCCGGACCAACTTTCTCTACAAGGACCATGCCGCTTCGTCCATCCGCACGCAGAGTCCGCCTGTCTGCCTTCGTCGAGCTGCTGGAACTCTCTTCACAAGGAGGCCATAGAGCATCGTTCGCATCAACGATAAGCTCGCGGCAGTGTGCCGTGCAAAACAAAAGTACTGAAAAAAAAACAATTAAGGGGTTGTAAGAAAAGAAGGCCCAAGTCCAGATGAGGCAACACAAAGTTAAGTACAGGTCTTGATAGAAGATATCCTCGACCTCGTCTCCACAAAAGGAGTCTGTTTATAACCTGGGACACAAGTAATCAAAGCATCAGCCCTCCTCCATTAATAACAGCGACCGCCGTTTGTCTTCATAAAAGGAAAAGACGCTGTTCCTAGACACCCACGCGGCTCCATATCGGGGAAATAGACCATAGCCATGGAGCATAGAGACCTCCATCCACTCCGTAACTGCTCGCAGAGCGCGCAGTTGAAACTGCATGCTTGCTTTCAGCACTCGCACTTGCACCTCTGGTGTACGTGGCGGGTAGGGTTGGGCAGAGCCACATCATGAACTACAGCACACCTATTCTCAGCGAACAACGTGAGTATGTACGTTGTTTCCTTTCAGCAACTGCATGCATAAACTTGTCATGCATGCAGCGCCTCCCCACGTCTTCGCAGGCAGTTATCAGTCACGTCACACACAGCCGCATCCCAGCATCTCTCCACCAGGACAATATGAGCACTGTGAATATGTGTACTGGAGCAATACGCCAGGAGCAGCTCTCAACGTTCTGGGCAGAAAGAGGTAAAACCTCATGCATGTCATTCCTTCCCGCCCCACCTCATAAACTGGAAAGCGTACCTACGCTGCAACATGATGCAAGGGTACAACTAAATCCTGCATACTTTATTACCTGTATATCGAAGAAGCGGACTATGGAGCTGGGAAGTGCAGAGATATCCTCGAAGTGGCTTGCAAGTGTGCCAACAGCTGCGTCGTGTATGTGCCCTTTAGTTCTGGTGGGCGTCGCAGAAGCCCGTTCCTCTCTTCTTTTTTAATTCATGAAAGAGGTCTAGGAAGGAAATTCAAAAAAGAAGCGCTGCGCCCATCGACACAGCCCTTCCTTGCCCGTAGTCCAAGGGACGGACACCGACCCAGCAACATCTCATGGAAGCTGCTCAGCAATTGGGTGGTTCCATCTAGAGGGTAAACTGTGTTTTGCCCCGCTTGTTGTCTCAACCAATCAATCGAGTTTCTTTTATGCTCTATTCTTTACAAATATCAACGCCCAATGCGAACGTGTTTTTCACTGGGTCAGCCCTTTCTAGGCTGTACTGGGACATCCGGTAGCGTGCTCTTGGTCTCAAAGGACGTCCCGCTCCGACAAAGCGATCCAACAGTCTGTGGAGTGGTCTTATTTTTAGTTCTCCTTGGAAGAGATTGTCTATTGCATCTTTGTGGCTTCGCAAACGACCGTGTTTGGAGGGCTTGTTGCATGCCGCGCACCTTCGGGCAGGCTTTCGATTACTTCGTTCAAAGTAGTGCCCAAATAATGACACTACGGTGCCCTTAGCAACAAAATAAATACTCAGTGCTCTCTGAGCTACGTGGACGCCTTGTCGCTCTAGGATAATAGGATATGGCCTTTACGGGAAGACGCTTGTCTGAGTACTCCAGAAATAGTCTAACGATGGATCTGAGGAACACTACTCGTTCAGCGTGAACAAACAAAACCAAGAGAGAATTATTGTCGATGGACATTGCTTTAGTTCATGTCTACAAGTCTACGATATCATAAGGCCCCGTCAACTCTGAGGAGGAGGAGGGAGGCAACGATGCAACATTGAAACGTCGAAGTTAGCACATTAGAATAGGTCAGCCCAGGAGTCACTGCAGCTGCAGCAATGCATTAGGGGGATTGGCCGACGTCGTATTGCCTAATGCGCACAAATGGGACACGGGGAATACTCCATTGTTCGTTGGAGGCGAGCATTCGAGGTGTTCGTGACTGGCGACGGACCTTCAGGTGTTCGCGGCTCTTCCGCATCTGGAAGTGCAGATGAGCATTGCGACAAATATGAAACAAAGTCACACCGAGCTGCTAAGTACATCTGACTGGTATCGACACTCAGGGGTGTGGCAGATCTCCTTCGGCCTTTTTAAAGCACTGCATCCACGATTCAGTTTTTCTTTGGCGTCTCCTCGCTGAGGTCCCTTCACTTTAACCAGTTCCACTTTATCTTCCTTGTAGTCGTCCTACCCGCCGAAATGAACTCAGCTCCCATTTGGTGCGCCTTTACTGTTGAGATGTAGGTAACGGTATCCTCCAACTACAGCATGACACATGACACGTATGACATAAACCACGAATTATAACACAAGGAGACCCAAAGTATCAAAAGTTTAGTGTCGAAGTGCAATTTCCACCGGAACTACTGTAACCTCTTCAGGGATCCCCGCACCACGCAACGGCGCACCTCATCCAGTGCATTATGGGGACCACGTGTGAATTTCTGTGTAAGAATGTGAAGCAGGAAATATTCGAAAGCACGGGCGTCTCACTGTGGCCATATATGAATGAAATGCACGTGTTTTTCAGGCCTTACGCCATGAATTGTGTCAGTGCATCTCAGGACAAATTTCCGCACCATTTCTCAGCTTCACCTTCCCTAATAGCGCAGAATAATCTAAAATGTTCCCTGCGTATAGCCTAAAATAGAGTGAAAGGCTTTTGCAACAAAGCAACAAACAGCAGCCCATGGCCACTATGCCCCTGCCCGCGGGGTGTTTTGGTGTCTGCCTGTGACCAGCAGCGGCACCACAGGCAAAGGGTTGTTGGCGATTCGCATTCTTCCTTGTTGATTATTTATCTAGCTCCACGGAAAGTAAGCATAAAGGGTAGATGTTTATTTAAGTGGCCGATCGGAAGTGCAGACGGCCGCTGGCGTCTCATTTTTCCGGTGTTTTGACACCGCACGACATTCCTGCTTTCTGCCGGCAGCACTATATGTAGTGTTGCGTAATATACATTGAGCCGACCCGCAGCAGTTTATTCTCCCTTTTGAATCTCCAACAACCCTCCTGTGGCTTTTGCCTCTCCTCCCTGTGCCCCTTCGCATTTCGCGCCCCTGGAATTCGTGGACAAATTCGAGCTCCAGCCGTTCGTTAAGAACTGTGAGTTGTTTGCCTAACCAGGCTTTTATCCCTTGTCGCTCTATGGATTGGCAGTGGTCTCTACGGCGAAAGCAGCGACGGCATCAGCAGCATTTATTCCCCGCTGCTGCTCTAGCCGCGGCCTCGTGGATATATTCCTCCACTTGTTGGCCCGTTTCTCAGTTTCTGTATGCCTGGGACTCAGCGAGACCGTAGCGGAGGCCTCTCTTTTGGATGCGGTAGCTGCGGCTGTTCGACGGCGTGTTAATTGCAACGCCAGTAGAGGCTTCCTCGCTACATTTACTGAACGTGTCTCGCTGCTAAGCGTCATTTGGAGATGCGGCCGCGGTTGAAGCGTCTCCAGAATTTCGGTTGGGTTCCAGGGATTTGTTTGTTCTGATTTAGAAAGCAGGTAGTCACTGAATGTTTGCTGTTGCCTCTCAGATCTCGAGGAACTCGTACAGGCTTCAGTGCAGCAGCGAAGCAGAAGTATCAGTAGCAGCAGTAGCAACAGGAGAGCGAAAAACGCCGCCAACATGGACGTTCAGTCAAAGATAAACTGTTCTCTGGATGATCTTATCAGACAGCAGAGGAGGGGTCCCAAGACCGCGGCTGTCGGCACACCACAAAAGGGCGCAGCCCCTCAACGCTTCAGCAGGACTACAGGAGTTTTAAAGAAACCAGTAAGCCAGAAGCAACAGCAAGCAAGGATTGGCCAGAGGCCGCAGCAGCAACAACTCAAATACAGCCCAAGACCGCAGCAGCCACAGGTTGGCGCTAGCCGGCGACGGCAGCAGCAGCAGCAACAGCAGCAGGCAAGGAAGAGCCGCAACCTTAGCGTCGCCGACAAGATTAATTTGCCTCTGGATGCGCTGATTGCATCGCGCCAAGAGCAGCAGCAACGGCAGCAGCCGAAACAGCAGCAGCAGCAGCAGCAGCAGCGAGTGGGTACAGGAGTTGCGTTACTTGGGAGGAAAACGGGTGTTAGTGGCCGTCGCGGCACAATTTTAGCATCACGAATATCGGCACGCCGAGGGCGGCTTGGTGCTGCTGCTGCCGCTACAGCAGCTATTCGCGGACCACCGCGAGGCGCAGCTGCAAAGGCACTTGCAACAACAGCCAGGAAGGAGGGGAGGTTTCGCACACCCCACCAGCAAGTTGTAGAGACGCTGAAGTCAGCTGCAGGTTTCAAGAACGCAGCAACTCGCCGCAGCGCAGGTAGTAATGCCTACATTCGGGCCGCAGCAAGGGCGTCAACAAGGGCCAGATTTGCCGCAGCAGGAAGTAGACGCCTAGATAACGGCGCGCTGCAGTTGAGAAGGCGGCCTGCCGCAGCACTTTATCCAGTATCGAGGTTGAATACCTCCTTGGCTCGCAGACGGGCGTTCGGAGCAACGCTAGCAAGGGCAACTAGTAACACTGCTGCTGCACAGGAGCCTCATATCACCACTGGCACTGCAGCGAAACCAGTCGACAGAAGAAGGCCACCCCCAACACTGTTATCAGCCCCAGCAGCAGGCGCAGTCTCACCGCCTTCGCATGTTGCAGATCCTGAAGCACTAGCGAACATCAAGATTATGGCAACCTTGGATACTGTTCCGGCTCCCTTGCCGCAGCAGCGAGGCACCCACGTCGCCATTCCTGCTGCAATGCAGAGGCAACAGGAAGAGCAGCAGCAGCAGCCCTCCAGGGCAGTTGGCGCTGCTGTCGCTGACCACGGTAGCTTGAGCAGCAGATTTGGCTACTAGTGCAAAGAGTAACAGGCAGGTATTCAGGATGTTTGTGCGCTGTCCCTCCTCCTGCGGGAGAGTGATGGGATGCAAGCCGATGATGTACTGTGGCGGAAATGTTTCTACTGTACGTGCACTGCAGTAGTAGCTGAACCAGACCTTCGTGGCGTCTGCAATAGCATCAACTTGGATCCCAGCAGTTGAGCTGCACGCGAATGAGAACATAAGCTGGGGAACATGCCGCAGCTGGGTCTTCAGGCACTGCTGTAGTTTCTGATCTAGCGAGCTCCGCCATAACCGTTGCGTTTGCCGTGGAAGTGGCTACAGCTCGTCTATTCGCCGTGTTGAATCGACGTTCATCTTGGCATTTGTTTTCTGTCCCGTGACGCTGTCTGTCCCAGTTTTTTTCTTTTGTGCCTCTCCTTAGTATTGCTTCGTCGGGAGTCCAAGTTTTCGTGGTGACACTGTATAGTTGTTGCAGGGTTCCCACCGGGTACAGGTTCAGGGGCAGAAATGGTAGACGCGTTGTTAGTTGTTCCAGCAGCGTTGTGATTGCTACGGGAAGCGTCCGTTGTGCTGCATTAGCTTTGGGGCGTCGCGTGTGGGCAGCAGATGGTGGCTTGAATTTTACACAGTATTTGAATTGTCATATGCTGTGGACTGGCTCTGCTTCTCCATGTGCAGGGCAGGGCAGTGTTGTTAACAGGAAGAAGTGCTGCGCAGCGGGGAAGTACCTTTGTTACGTAGGGGTGGAGATTGTTTTGCTTGCCACCCCAAGAGAAAAAGAGGACGTAGAGGGGATTGACGCATCTAGAATGATGAGAATTCATGCACCTGGAGCAAACAGGCTTACGGTTGTATTCCAAGCATGCTAGGTCTGAGTCGTGCCCCTGTGTGCCAGGAGCTTTAGCAATAGCAATAAGAGAACCATTCGCAAGAGCTTCAATTGAATAACCGGCAAGCAAGAGAGTTTCATTGTAGAATGAGCTAACAGCTAGTAATCCGAGGCTACGATGTTCCCAGAATGGCTCTTCACTTCGTGTGAGCTGAGACTCCGTATGCTTTGCTCGCATTTAAGCTCTGCACAATTGACTGGAGCGGGCTACTGGAGCTGGAGCTCACCCAAATGGAGGCGGATCTACAGGGCTAGCTTTGTTATCCTGAGTCACGCGAGTAGCTGCTAGACGCAGCACGCCGTTGTGCTGCGGTAGCAGTTGTGCTATACCTGTTAAACGACCTCCAAGTACGCATACCCAATGATGCCACCTCGTTTGCCTACAGCGTAATTTTATGCGACGCCATCATCTAATGGTCACATTCTTACTGCAGAGCGCAAGCGCAACTCCATGGATTCAGGCTCTAGAATTCGTAAATGCGTCGCTGCCCTCAGCACCGTCTCCAGTCTACGCTGTTACGCTTTTGATGTTTTTCATCAATGTTGCTTGTCTGATGAGAGAAACGTCAAACATTGGTGCATGAGAAACCGTCCTCCTTTCGGAACGTGTGTCCCAACTAAATAAGTGAGCCCATAGTACAAAATACGGCAGCTCATGACTAGTGCATCTTCTTTGTCACCTAAAAGGAGCTCCATAATTCCGCGCGCTTTTACATTGTGCCCGCAACTTGTTCCGACAAAGTTCCCGTGTAGATCTCATTCAGCATCTCAAATGAGATCTAGAGGGGAACTTCTTACCGTAGCTGAAGCATGCGATGAAACTTCTATCCACCATGTCTTCTTCCAGTTCTGAGTAAAAGCTGGAGCTTGAGATTTAGTAGTCGAAACGCAGGTTTTGCCTTTTCTTTCAGTTACTTCGTGTGTCTGTCCAAGGTTGTAGCACCAAGTGGATTTAACAGCAACGCATGTCAATGCGAATCTGTGCTTCACATGTGCCCCATCGATGCCAAATTGACTGTATTGATCCAATATTGCAGCAGTTTCAGATAAAAGCAGAGACGCATAGCGTGGCTCAATATACAAAGGGGCTCTTGCTGCGTGGTTGTGAGCCAACCAAGAAGCATGGCAGGCATTACTCCAGAGCGAGAAGGCAAGTAAGCGTTTGGCTCTGCTACTCTCAAGGAATTATAAGATTCAGAGTGCGGGGGCTGCACAGTCTTGTTCAGTGCTTCTAGGAATGTCTGCGTAGGAGACGAGCTGGCATGACCTACACGAGACCACCACGGGAAGGTCTTACAACGCTTAAAGGCGTTCATTTTGCACAAATCAAGCTGAAAGAGACTCTTGAAGGTGCAGCCAGAAAGAGAAGACAGTTAGTAGGCCACCACACACAAAAGGCATAAGACACTCCAAGGAAAATCCATTGACCATGAGGCGCTGCAAGCGGCACAAGAAGATTCCACATGAAGATTGCTATCTGAGAATATTCAGCAGGCATTCTGTAGGTTGGGAATCCCACTGACTGCTCGCTTGCTCTGCTCCGCGCGTTACATTTCACCCTAAATGCTACGCCGCCCAGTTTACCTACTGCTTCATTGCATTTCATAGTATTTTCATCTGTGGCGTCTTTTAATATGGCGACAAACTGTATGTGTCTCGCTGTTTGCTCTCCTTTCGCCACACACCTGCAGGTCCCACGATCTAGCAGGAAACATTCTTGGCCCGACTGTTTCTCTCTGGCAGAAAAGAAGCTCATGCTAGCGTGCTCAATAAAGAAGGTCAAACGGGATGAATCTGAAGTAAGAGAAGCAACCACCGGAGTTGCTGACACGGAATCCGCCAAAACACGCGTATCTATGTTACTGAAAGGCTCCGCTGGACTTAGGCCTTCTCATGAGGGTGGTGTAGATGAGCTTTCGCAGCCCCAGTCACATCGCCGTATTGGTTTCACCCAGGCTCAAGCGCCTTCGGTAGATCCACCTGAGATGTTGGACATAGCCTCTGCTCCTCTGTCACTATGAAGTTCCCTTTATTCTGTTTACCTGTGGAGTGTTTCCTCACGCTGCCTGTTCAGCAGTTTGAAGCTGCGCTCTCAGAAAGTCTGAAGTAAAGGCTCAGTAGTGTGTCTCAAAATTCTGGTTGCATTTTAGCATGGGTCATTTGGCGTCAACCAGTGAGCTGATCGGCTTTTGCGCGACCAGCTGGATGTTGTGCAGGACACGTTGGCACTTGAAAACTGCTGGCCTACGAGCGACCTAACATTAGAGTGGCTGCGGTTGGGTCGAGCTAAGATGAAGGCTTTCCAAGAAGTTTTGAGGCAAGGGTCATTGTTTGCCAAGTGCTTGCTTGTTAAGATAGAGGATTAAATGGCCAAGCGTGATTCAAGAGTCAGATGGAAAGCGGTAGAACTCATCTCAGGTTTACCTGCACAGCGATGCCTGGCCACTGTTGTAAGCGTTAAGTGATGAAGGCCTGATTCGTATGAGGGGGATGCCATGTGACTTTTGATTTGCGGCACGCAGGCGACGGCTTTCCTCCCCGATAGAAGCATGCCACTGGCCTCTGCGTGTAGTGCACAGGCACTACAATGGGGCTGGCTAGTGTCCTAGAGATGATAGCTAGCTAGCGATCTACAAGGGGCCGCAACACTGGAGGAGGACAGGACCCTCCCAATAGGATTCAAATAAGAAAAACGGTCTATTAGCTCTAATGAATACGTAAAATGTGCGGAAATTGTGTGGAGACTAGGGATGGCGATAGCGCCGGCGCCAGTGCGGGCCTCCTCCCTCTAGGGCCTAGGAGGCGAGCTCCCAGAGTGGGGCGAATCGAAGAGACAGATTTGAAACAGTTAAGAACTGTTGTATTTCGATGGAATAAAGCTATAGAGTCCGAGAAATGGGGCTATGCTAGGCGTAGTTTGTAGGCCTGCTCGAGGGGCAGGAAGCAGCGTAGTCGCAGCAGTAGGCGCCGCGCACTACATTTGGGGGCTCTTCCGATGAAATCTTTGTTCTTTCCGGACTTGGGAGTAGAAATACTATGTTTTAATGCCTCGTACCTAGAGATCTTTGCTCAGTAAGTGATGCACCTCCGCAACGGATGCGTCATCGGTCCCACACCGCAGGAGACTCCTACAATGTCAGTCAACAAAATGCCGAGCGGGACACCAGCCCATCATCGCCACGCGATTCCGAAACCCACCGTGGCAGAGCGGCCGCATGGGCATAAGGGGGCGTCCCCGCAGGTGATACCTTTGCCCAATGTCATGCCAGGGGACATTCCCTTCGTCACATGGGACCAATTCCAGTCCGCAATGAGTGTGATAAGAACTGTAAGGGGGGGGACCGTGGAATCCGGCGCAACGACTCCCATACTACCAGAAGACGGCAGCGCTATGCAGGCCTTTCTGCTGCGCATCGAGCGCCGGTACACCCAGATGAGATTGGAACCGCGCGAGTGGGGAAATGCACTTATAGACCACCTTGTGGGCCCGCTCTAACATATTGGATGTATCTACGGAGAACTAACGACCTAAGCGACTGGGCGACAGTACAGCGCAGGCTTTTGGAGCGGTTTGACAGAACAATGTCACAGAGTCAATTGTTAACGGAGTTGGCTAAAGTACGGTGGAATGGTGACCCGAAGGAATACACGGATCGGTTTGCGGCTGTAGCGGAGCGGGGATTGGGTTTTGCCCCCGACGAACTCGCGGACTAGTACTGCACCGGGCTACCGACAGACCTCCGTCTTCTAATAACCAATAACGTACAGGTGAAATATCAGTCGTGGGAACAAGCGGCGACCGCCGCAACACGCCTCTACGAGCCCAAGCGGAGTGTGCTGGAAATCCGATAAAGGACCAGTCGAGCCATTAGGGCGGCCGTCCAAGCTAATGGACCTCGTGGCCGCCAGGAAATTGAAAATCGTTCTGGGGGAACCAACGCAAACTGCTTTGAGTGTCAGGGTGGCGGACATCCGGCACGTGTCTGCCCTAGCAAAAGCGAACGTACCAGACGTCCGGGGAAAATTTGCAAGAAGTGCGGCGGTGTGGGACACTATGCTCGGGACTGTCCTACGTATGAACGAGGCCGGCCCGAGCAGGTGGACAAGGGCAGTAGAGCGCCAACCCGTCCTAACACTGAGAAGACGGAACTGTCGCTTACCGTCTCGCTCTGCCTCCCACCTATGAATGTCGTAACGTTTTCCACGTTTAGCAGCTAGTTCCCCACCGCCCCCGCCCTCCCGCTTTGGTTCCCTCGGCATCCGACGCTGCCTGGCCTCCTGTCCACGATGCAGCAGGCAATCCCACAGTGGAATACGAAGTCGACTATATTGTGGGCCAACGCGGCTCGGGAGATGCAGCCCAGTACCTCGTGAAGTGGCACGGGACACCTGAGGATCAAGCCACATAGGGAGCCAGCTCATCACCTTACCGGCTACCCGGCTTTGCTTCGCGCTTGGCGCCGCCGCCAACGAAGACGTCTTCAGACTCGAAACAACAATGGTCCTTCCGAGGCGTAGACGTATGGGTCCTCCACGTTCCAGCTCCTACAGCATGGGCACCCTTCAATGAGGAGGGGGGAGGGAGCGCTGCGCACCGCGTGCGCTCACGACGTCAGCTTTAAAAGAGCACAGAGATTGAAAAGGCAAAAATAATGTGTTTTAGGGTAGGTCTCTCCAGTCCGGCAAGGGGGGAAGTTGTAGTGCATAGGCACTACAATGGGGCTGGCCAGTGTCCTAGAGATGATAGCTAGCTAGTGACCTACAAGGGGCCGCAACACTGGAGGAGGACAGGACCCTCCCAATAGAATTCAAATAAGAAAAACGGTCTATTAGTTCTAATGAATACGTAAAATGTGCGGAAATTGTGTGGAGACTGGGGCTGGCGATAGCGCCGGCGCCAGTGCGGGCCTCCTCCCCCTAGGGCCCAGGAGGCGAGCTCCCAGAGTGGGGCGAATCGAAGAGACAGATTTGAAACAGTTAAGAACTGTTGTATTTCGATGGAATAAAGCTATAGAGTCCGAGAAATGGGGCTATGCTAGGCGTAGTTTGTAGGCCTGCTCGAGGGGCAGGAAGCAGCGTAGTCGCAGCAGTAGGCGCCGCGCACTACACTGCGTGCATGCGCAAGACCTGCGCATCGTTGTGTTGCTTTCAATTTAAAACTCGCGTCTGCACTACCAAGTGCAAGCGGTGAATGCAGCAGACAAGCGTTCTACAATAGTGGCGATGCAGCGAATGCACGTGTGGGATTTTTGCCGCTGTCTAGCCAATCCACGACACAGGGGACTCTACGTAGAGAAAGAGGAGGCTGCAAGGGGGGTAACGCACCTGAGAGCGCATGCACGTGCACTTTTGTGCGTGATTGGGCTTTAATCATCTCGGAAGATCCCTTATTGCGTCCATAACTGCTGGCAGTGTCACTGGGCATTTCAGAAGTTCATACCGTCGTAGTGAGTGCTTTGTCGGCTGCTGAGTCTTCTGCCTCGCTCCTCCGGTGAGGTGTCCAGGCGACCGCGGCTAACAGTGTGCGGTATTGTGACATCGAATGCTCATTCCGCCTTCAATTTCTTCCCTTCCTGCTATTGCCTTTGTCAGTTCCCTGAAGCGTAGAGTATATGCCTGATTGCATGTTTTTGTTTGGTAGATGAGGGAGGCTAACTGGGAAAGGGCGCTGACTGTTGCGAATTGTCTTGGCCACCCAGAGAGCCTGAAGGTTTTCCGTTCATTAGAGGCTCTCGAGCAAGATATCTTTGGGGCAAGCATTGCAAAAATCCTAACGGGCGAATTGATGCCTCCTCATACCTGCGAAGTCGACACAAGCTCTTCCTGCCAACAGCAAGGAGACGCTAGACGGTACCTGGCGCAAATGTGCAACAAGCGACAGCATTGCCGGGACAAGAATGCAGGAAAATCTGGTCAAGAAGTTACTCTAAAAGAGTTGCAAGATCACCTTCACCGTTATCGTATTGTTCTGATAGATGACCACTATTGTGGGCCGATTGTCTCTGCATTTGGTTTGCCTCTCCTTTTAGAGTTTTTCCACACGCACACATGGTAAGGCACCTTTTTTTGTTGGGCATGTGGGATTTTTGTTACTGTTGTGATGCGCAGCTAAGCCTATAATTGTCCTGTCACGCCTCGTACGAAGCATTGGTAACCTGTGCTGAGGTGCTTGGAACTTCGCGCACCACACCGCCAACCCCACCGGAGCATCACGTCTACGAATCTAAGAGATGACGAAATTAACCTGCCGTGCCTATCCCGCCTTCCAGGTATCTGAGTTCTATCATTTCAGCCTGCCAACTCAAACTGCCTCGCACTGTGACAGAACACATCGCGCGCCCTACAACCGTGTGACGTGCGTCTGTAGTTCAACTCCAATGCCTCCCACAAACCAGCTACCATCGTCAATGTGACTCCACAAAAAATACCAACGCACGCCTTTGCCAACCCGAATGACAGCACCGCCAACCTCCACACCCCCAATAAATGATCCGCGACTGTGTAATCTGCGAGCCTGAAATCCATGGCTTCAGACTCCGGACGCGACGATGAATAGCAGCAGGAAGTCTGCACAGGCGAAAGAAGACGAAAATAGGTCAGACGCGACAGAGATTGTGCCACACTGGTGGAGGGAGACTTGCATGAAATAGTCTTACGATCAAGGGGGAGCGTTGTGCTGTGCGGGTGCGACGGCGGTACTTCGCGTTGAGCTCGCGGGGAGTCCTTGTGAGGCCCTCTTGGACACTGGGGCTTCGCGAAGTTTCATTAGTCCTAAAATAGTCGAACGACTGCAGCTGAGAGTGCGGAGACTTCCAAAAGAACATAGGTTCACTGTTGCTACAGAGGCACAACTACGTATTGATCGGGTAGTGACGGGATTGACGCTGTGCTGCGGACATACGCGCTTTTCCGGGGACATTTTGGTGGGACCCGTTCCCTACGACTTAGTCTTGGGTTTGGATTGGCTGACGGAACACAAGGTGGCC